ATTTTTAGATCCGGTTAATATCCGTTCACATTCGAATATTCGGATTTTTTAATCAGATATTCGAACATTCCGATTATGCCACCGTCCAGCATAGTTTTTTTGCTTTTTTAACTTTTACCCGATTGTATTTGACATTGCTTCATTCATTGTATGAATACATTTATACTTAAAGAAAGAGAAGTGAGGACAGCATTTGCAAGTATGTACATGTATCCACATACATACATACATATATATATATATTGTATATATATATACATGCATATGTATGTACATACATACATGCTTATGTATTTTAGAACCAACTTTTAGTACACGCCTGGTACAGCACTAACATTTCTACATTCATCATATTTGTCACAGATGCGGCCCACGTCGCTACGGATCCATCATCGCATATCACATCGGTTTCGTCACCGTTACACTTTTGTTTTACTTATATAATGGAATTAAATCAAATTGCATAAACAAATGGCAGGAACAAGCATTTAATAATGATTTGATGCCGCTTTATCGTTTATTTTCACTCGGCACTGTCCGTCTCGTGTTGCCCGCTTAAAAACTGTGGCAACCGACTGCACGATGCACTACTCCCGCTAGCATACACAATCATATGTATAACATATGTGTACATATATATGAATATATTTATGCATTTATGTATATAGATATGTATTTATATACATTCATACATAGGTAGCACGCACATATTTATGAATATATAAGGTGTAGTGCGTTCTACGATTTTTAACCGAATTCGTTGCCTACAATTACTGGAGGGAGGCGAGAGCGCGCAAGTATCCATATTTAGTGGGTACACCTTAAACATGTAATGCTGCGCGGATGGCCACAAATGCAAACACACAAATCCACACCCAAATGTACCACCACTCGTTTTTTATTCGTATACACTTTATTTTTGTTAAATTTTATATTTACTCGATTTCTTCTAGATAATCCGCGGCTTGCCGATACCTACGTCCATATTGAATCACTCTCGCGCGTGAACTGTTTCAATGCCCCCACGCTTGCTGGCATTCAGCGTTGGCGCTGCTCCAAAGTTTGTGCCAAAACCAGTGTGACCATATGATCACAAAAACCAAAGCTAAGTTGTTTTAACAAGTAAAGAAGTATAAGTTCGGGCGAAACCGAACTTTATGTACCCGGCGCACGTAGTTATTAAATATCGTTTTATGATAATCAAGACTATTTTCCGCGATGTCAGTTTCGATAATATGCTATGAAATATTGAAATAATTCAAGCACGTTTGGGGGAAATCAGATTTCTCTTTTCATTCTGATCATTTTTGTTTGCATTTGTTTAAATCTATCTCGATTCGTTTTGGCTGTTACGAACAACCGTTATGCGAACAAAGTTGTAATACCCTTGTGCACAAGTGCGCTCGGGTATAAAAATGGGTTAGAAAAAGTTGTATCCGATGAAAAACGAAATTACGAAGAAGTTAATATACGAGTATTCATACTTTAAAAACTTTACATCAACTAGACCGATTCAGAGAAGCCTATTTAAAAATTGTTCTCACCAAAATACTAGTCCTTTCCAACCGCCCGATAGGTGCGGCCCTGGAAATCACACTTTTGGACCGCATGCAAACCACATTATATAGGTACTGTGCTGCTCGGAATCTCGTCCATATGCAACCTTTGGACATTTATACATAAACTATGGTAAAGCTGGGAAGAAAATTTGTAAAAAAAAAGGAAAAATAACAATACGCATTATTTATAGGCCTTATAGCTGCAATAAATAAATATATATAAAGTATATAACGGCTAGATTACTTCAGGGTATAGAAAAAAGAGTTCATATTAGGAAAAGAAAAACGGAAAACGCACTAAAGAAAAAATATTATTACCTATTCAGGAAGGCAAAACTAACATTACGCATTATTTATGGGCGAAGGTTCGAATTTTACAAATCAGGAAGCTAGAGCTAATGCTCTGGAGCAATGGCATACAATTAAATGCAAAATCTAGCCTCAAATAGGGCAACCTGGTCACACAGCCTAGAACAGAGGTCTCTCCACAGAAATGTCGTTAAGCTCTAGAGCGCATAATGTTGTCAGCGGCATTTACGAAATTTGTTACTGACTAGTTTTCATACACATAAAAACATATATACATTAGGGTGGTCCAAATAAGTAATGTCGGATTTAATGCTCTCACCCCCTAAGATTGTTCTATATCTTAAAAATATATCCATATTTCTTTATTTTGAAATAAAAAAATATTTATAGTCGCTCAAAACGCTCAAAGGTTTCCATGTATTTTATAAGGAAAAAAAACTTTTCGTAGAAATGGTATGGAATTCTTGAAAATCAATATTTTTCGACCGGAAAGCTCTGGTTCTCTTCAAGGGAGTTCGAATAACAATACACAATTGAATGGTCGCCTCAAATAACGTTGTAAGCGACAATTTGTTCAAAGCATGTTTCCTTGATTTTAACGATATTAATGTGTATATTTTATTTTTTTAAAGGCAAGATTCTTGAAGAGTGCTATGCCGAAAACGTAGAAAACCAAATGAAATCCCCGTTTGCGCGTCAGTAAACAAGTTTTTTTTTTTTATATTTTGTAAAATTATAATTTTGTCGCTTACAACGTTATTTGAGGCGACCACTCAATTGCTTATTTACCATTTTTTAATACTAAATATTTTTTTATTTTCCCCCATGCATTTGATTTTTAAGAATTCTATACCATTTCTTCGAAAAGTGTTTTTCCCCCATATAAAATACACGGAAAACTTTGAGCGCCTTGAGCGACCTCTAAATATTTTTAGCTTTCAAAACAAAAAAATACGGTTATATTTTTTCAGTTTAGAACAATCCTAGTTGGTGAGAACGTAAATATTCCGACCCTAATGTACATACATACAAATAATATGGAAAGGGCCTATCCAAAATGTTTGTGTCTTTACAGCGTAACTACAAAACTTTATAAAAACCAAAGTTCTTAAGTTGGGAATTTCTTACAAATTCTGGGTACTAAGCACTGAAACTAATTTATTGGTGTAGTACATAGTTGTTTTTAAATTCTGTTAGACCGTTAGTGAGTAATCAACCGACCATTGTACAAAACCGAATTTCGGAAGGAAAATGAGTTAGACCATTTCTCTATTCAGGTAACGACAGTATGTATAGAAGTATGCATGATGCAATAATACAAGGTGGTATCAGTTGTGACAGCTCGATTTGACACTGTCTTAGCTCAGTAGAATGAGAAGAAAAACGGGAAGAAATGAATCCCCATATGGGGGAAAAATATAAAATTTCACATTTTGTCCTAAACAAAATTTGCTTTTTTTATAGTATATTCGTTATGAAATGAAATAAAATAAAATAAAATACCTTTTTAAGAAAACGAAGTGTGTATACTGAGAAGAAATAAAAAATATTCAACTATAATAATGGGCAAAAAATAGTTAAAGAAGTAACACTGTTTCACGTAAGGCAGTCAATATGGCGGAATTAGAGCGAGAAGTTGCCAACTGATAACACCTTGTATTATTGCATCATGAGAAGTATGTACATATTAAATTAAAAAGCTCTGTGGTAGCGCTTAAGCTTTTTGGCGGTTATTGAGCTTGCATATGTACATAACTACATATACATACATGCATGTACATATGTACATATATGGTTGTGCTCTTCCCTATTGCAGAAAATGGCGAAACCGAACTACACAATTAAAACAGTGAATTTGTATATTTGAGCAAGAAAACAGTCGATGGTGCCCCACTCGATAATTTAGGTTAAGCACTATTTATTGATAGCATCGATCCATCGTCAATGGGTAAATAAGTTTCAAATTGCACCCCGATATGAACTCCTACTCGTTTTATTGAAGTGAAACTTCAAGAGTGGGAGTAAATTGGCAAATTCAACAGATATTGCACACGGAAATGGTGCAACGGAAATGATGCAACGGAAATGGTGCAACAAAATTGGTGCAACGGAAATGGGTGGGGCTGACACAAGTGCTTCTGGTGTGTATGCATATAGTATTAATTTAACAAAAATTTGATAATAAAAGGTTA